AAGGAATATAAGATGACCTACAAAGTGGGAAGAAAAAAATTCTGCTGGTGCTCTTTTTTTGCTTCTTTTTTATGCATCATGGTCAGTGCTTTTGGGTTTTCTTTTTTAACACTGCAAATACTAAGTTTTTTCTACTGTTTTTGCTAAAGGACCTTTTGTTGACTATATAGAGTGGGATGATGACATCATAAAACACTGAAACTTGAGCAGTTGAAAAGAGGGAAGATTTCTAGTTGGATTATTTAAAAAAAACCTTTATTTTTGTTAATACCTATTTAGCCAAGCTCCTGACAAACACCTGAAAGCAATCCACAAAGAGTCAAATACAGTAGTTTGCAAGCCCTACAAAGAATTCTCTGCAAAAACGGGTAAAACAAGACTCCTGATACTTCTAGGCAAAAAGTAAGCAAGAATTATTGTAAAAATCTCAGGCTCTCTTGATATATTATAAAGAAGAAAAAGCCCACACTAAATTCCCTCTAAGCTGCGTGGCCAGGGAGAGGTGCCTTTCCCCTGGCCTGGTGCTGCCGCGGCAGGGGAGAGGCACCTCGGCCACAGCCCCAGTGCTGCCGGGGAGAGGTGCCTCTGTGCCAGCCCTGGGCTGCTGCAGTCAGAGAGGGCTGTGGAGAGTTCTCTCCCCCAGCTGCAGCCTGCACCTCAAACCCCTCATCCCTGGCCCCACCCCAACGTTCGCACCCCCTGCATCCCAATCCTCTGCCCCAGCCCTGAGCCCCATCCGACACCCTGAACCCCTCATCCCCACCCCAAAGCCCTCACCCTCAGTCGGAACCCCCAACCCCCCCGCAACCCTCTGCCCCAGCCCTGAGCCCCCACCCCCTTCCACATTCCGAACCCCTCGCCCCCCCCCCCCACATTACCTCCATATTGGTGCACATAACAAAATTCATTCCGCACATGGATGTCAACAATTAGGGGGAACATTGCACACTATTATTTTTTGCTTTGAAGACCACATGTAAGAGTTCTGGTTCATTCCTTAGATGAGACAAGCCCAATGTCCCTCTGGCCTGGATAATCCTAGACTAGGCTGTAAATAAAGACTCCATGTCACTTTTGACAAGATTAAGGGATAACCTAATATCCATGTTTATGGTAGTTCCTAACTCCAGTTTCTAACAACCAAAGCATCAACAGTGGGGGAGCTAATGTACACAGGGCTCCAGGCAATTGCTGTCCTGTTAAGCACCATTTCATTGAAACCTGCTCAATGCAGGTCTATGCAACACAGTGGTAAATATAATAGTGATTGCTGGTGCCTGGTGTACAAAAGTGGAGCTGCACCAGCATTAGCGGGAAGTGTTCAGATTAAAGCCTAGTATAGACAAGGCTTACATAAGCTACTTTATTGCTGGGGCTACACAGTGGGGTGCCTGTTTACTGACCACTCCCGCCTCCCCAGTTCTGGCCCGGGTCACTTTGCAGGAACCCTGCCCGTTTAGCCCCCGTTTGCAGGCCCCTTTAGAACCGCACACAGGCTTTCATGTGGATAACATCTCCTTCTGTCTGGGGCTGGTTTAATAACAATAGGGTTACCATCCGTCCGTAGTTCCCCGGACATGTCCGGCTTTTGCGTCTCTAAATAGCCGTCCGGGAGGAATTGGTAACAAGGTTAAAATGTCCGGTTTTTTTTTCTCCCTCGCCTCCCTCCCTCCCTTCCATGCAGAGTGCGGCTGCTGATTGGGCGGCTGGGCCGACTGACCCACTCCCATTGGCCTCCAGCAGCCAGAGCCCTCCCCTGCTCCCCCCTCCCTCTGTCTGCAGCCCTGTGTAACACAGAAACCGACCCACCGGGCAGCGTGTTTTGCAAACATGTGGAGCCAGAATGGTAAGGGGAGTCCCGGGGGGGGGCAGTCAGGGAGCGGGGGAGTGTTGGATGGGTCCCCGGCCTCCACCTGCCACCCCCCCTCCTTGCGTCCCGTCCCCCCGTGGGCTCCCCCTGCCTGCCTCTCCCTTGTCTGCTGCCCCCGGGTCCTAGTGTCCCCCATCTACTAATGGGAAGACAGGCTGCCCTTCCACCCTAGCCCTGAGCCTCTCCAATGCCCCAAACTCCTCAGCCCCAGCCCTCATCCCCCCACACCCTAATCCTCTGCTCCATCCCTGAGCCCCCTCCTGCATCATGAACCCCTCATCCTCAGACCCACAGCCCTCACCCCTGCATCCCCTCCTATCCCCAAACCCCCTCCCCACACCCCCCTCCTGCCCTCAAACTCCCTCCCAAAGCCTGCACCCCCTCCCTTTGCACCGCCTCCCACCCCCAAACTCCATCCCAGAGCCTGCACCCCTCACCCCCTCCTGCACACCCACCCCCTGCCCCAGCCCAGAGCCTGCACCCAGCACCCAAACTCTATCCCAGAACCTGCACCCTGCACCCCTCCTGCACCCTAATCCCCAGCCCAGGACCTGCACCCCAGACCTCCTCCCCCCACCCAACTCCCCTCCCAGAGCCTTAGGCAGGTGGGCGGGGGGTGGGTTCTGGGCAACACCAAAATTTCTACAACCCTGCCACCCATGCGAGTGGATAAGGGTCAGGGCAGTCAGGGGACAAGAAGTGGGGGGGGGGGTTGGGGTGCTGGGGGGGCAGTCAGGGGGTGGGAAGTGGGAGGAAGTGGAGGGGGGTGGGGTGGGGGCAGGGGCAGGGCTAGGGCGGGGCTCCCCCCCCGTGTCCTCTTTTTTGATTGTGGAAATATGGTAACCCTAAATAACAAACTCCTCTTAATCCTCACAGTTCCAAAATAAAGTCCATCACCACACAACAGTCCATACTTTGTTCCAGTGTCTTCTCTCACAGCCGGAACTCTTCTGTCCTATTCTGTTTTCACAGCCCATCCTCTCAGCTCATCCTAGCTGGAATTTAGCTTTCTGACACAGGCTTCTAGGCCCCCAATTTGTAGGCCCAAACTCCATCCTGTTTCGCAACAGGAGCCTCCTGCTCCCTAAACTCCGGCTCTGTCACATCTCCCTTGGTCTTGTTGTCTTCCCTGCAGGAGCCTTCACACACTCTACAATTTCCTGCGCTTCCCCCCTTCTCTGCAGCCTCCTGCTGCTGTTTATAGGGCAATCATCCTGATCTCTTCCAGGTGTGACTCACTCTGTAATCAGGGGTGGCTAGCTCCAGCAGGAGCCACCCTGTTACATACAGGCCACAAGAAATCAATGCTATAGCAGGTATATTTCCAGACCCTGACTCCCCTTGTAAAACATCTCTTATGATTCCTTTTTCCTTGCCAGCTCAGTGCTTACGGGATATATCTTTCTCATCTCTCACCAGATAGCTCAGGGGACAGAGGACCCAGTGGTTCAGTTTCTCTCTCTCTCTCTCAGGACTCTGAGCAGCAGTCTTCTTTCTCTCCCCCAATACTGGGCATGTACAGGCAACATTTGGGGATCTCTCATGTGTGAAAGGCTCTCTATAAAAACATATTTTTAACATACATACATACACACGCACACAGAGACACACACACTTGACAACAGATGAAGAAGGGTGTAGAATGTAATCTTTTAGGACAGGTCTTTGCATTGTGTAATTTGTTAGCGCCCAGAGATTTTAGTGATGGACCCACTAGATATTCAAAGACAGATTCTAAATGTATTGGTCTTTTTATTCTCTGTCTGTACAGTGCCTACCAGAATGGGGTCCATGACTAGTGCTCCCAGGCACTAAAGTAATATAAATAATAATAATAATAAATAATAATGGTCTCTCAGGCAGATTTTTGTTAACAATTTTTGTGCAAGTCTGTGTTTAAAGATTTCTTTTTCACACATAGTACACTGTCAAACTCCTTACAATAAAATGTATTACTTACAACTCCTGAGTAAACTAAAGTGTCTTCTAATGAGGCCTTCGCTGGCCAGTACTATTAAGTGAGAGACACTCCTATCTCTAAACAGAACACAATGTATTTCACTATCTGCAGTATATTGCGTGACAAATTGCTTAGTCACATGCACATCAAGACCCCTATAGCTTGCCTGGATATAATATAGGTTTATTTAGTTTCTTAATGACAGGGATAAAAATCACCTATGGTTTGTTTCCAGAGAAAAGGTAAAAACACTTTATAAACTGGCTTGCAGATAACTCACTGTAACCTATATGACAATTTATGACTATTTGACTAAATGAAGGTTTGGTTTTCAAAAAAAGTATCTTTGCTAGGTTTTTATTACTGAATACAGAACAACAAGCTCCAAAATGTGCATCAACAGAGTGAAACATTTAAATCTTATTCTCTTTAACCCCTCCAGACTCTTTGGAATAGGATCAACTGAAAAGACTTTTGAATGGTACTCTGCAGACACTGTAGAGCATATACAAGTGATCTATTGCTGAAAATGAAATTTTTTTTTTATACTTTTCAGGATAACACTTTAAATCCTTAAGTACAGTTTGTTATATAATATGGCACACGATCATAAAATAAGTATTTGAATAAGGATATTAATTATTTTACACAATACCATTGTTAACCATATTATAGTCTGGAAATAGAAACTGCAATAGTATCAATCTCAGACCAACTGTTTTATCATTTTGTAGAAATATTTCAGTTTAATTAATGGAACCCCCCTGTCTAAATGCTATTAGCTGATTCATACTTTTTTTTTTAAAACCTGGCTTAAACAGAACTGTAAACTTTAGCTAAGTCTCACAAATGTCCATTTGCAGTTAAAAGGGGTTAGTTACTACGAACACTAAAACTGGCGTTGTTTTTCTGTTATCAGGTTACAGTAGCTCAGGTCTCTAAGCACTAGAATCCCCCATACAGCTGATCAGTTACAGCTGTTAATTGTGGAGCAAGGGACTGCTGACATCTGCTTCTTGCTTAGTTAGTTAATGGTTCACTTCCAGGTCCTAAAAGGATTGCAGCCTCTCTCAAAAGACAATGTTGGACCCCATCTATGTCTGCCTTCTACACTGCCTGTCTTGTTCTGGTTTGTCACTCTCCATACAAAGCAAATCTGAGTGAACTCACATCTGGCACTGATCGACCCAATTCGTGAGCAATCTTTTCCCATCGACCTGGGGTCCCCCCTGGGAACTTAACCATACTTCTTGTCAGCTGGCTAAGGTCCTCTTCTGTCCATTCAGGTGCCTGCAAAACATTTGTAAAACATTTATTATGCTGGGAAAATTAAAAAAATGAAGTTGGATAAAATAGTGAACAAAGACATTAAATAAATTAATCAAATAATGGCTGTTGTAACAATGTAATTTAATATGGTTTCCAAAGCTTGTTAGTTGAATGCTCTGTTTCTTCCACTCTGTTACAGAAAACAGTACATAAAAACAGCCGTCAGTGAAGGAACTTGAACCATTAAAAATATTTAATATACAAAATGTACATTAGTGCAGTAGACACATTTAACTTATTCACTATGAAAAAAGCAAGCAATAAAAATCAAAATAAACAATTTTACTGCTTAAAGATTAAACCACAGTCTAAGATATCAACATTTTAGATATATATAAAATCCTCTTACGTATAACTGAATGATATATAAAGGAAGAGAAATCTTTAAAAAGTCCTCAATTGAAAATATACTGAAAATAATCTTAAAATGTTATTTATAAATCTGTATCTTAAAACAGCATGCCCAATTCAGTCAGTTGTTAAAGCCCCCATAATGTATTATATTTTAACATTTTGGGAGTGAAATCTGACAATTTTACATTCCACTGAGAATTTTTTTTTTTAAAAGCACCTAAATCCTGTGGCTTCTGTGCACTGTACACGAAGAAAACAGAAAGAAACTGGACATTTTCAAAGAGCAACAAGGCCCAATAACCAAAATATAAAACAATGTTCTACTGTAACAGCATGCTGCAAATTGTAAACAATTTCCTCCTTTATGACAACCATATAAAACTGAGTAAAAAGCAAGAAAACACTGGTTCCTCAGATATAATTGTCAAATTAACTATTAAATCTTTGTATGTTGAATTGCCTCTCCAAGAACACACGGCTCTGTACCCAGCCTTCCACACTAGTAAAAGAAGGGACTATTGAACTAAGCATTTGTAAAAAGTAGTTAACCATTTCTATTTTTTTAAAAGAATCCTTTATGATAAATACCTTTTCTAATCACCATTTCTGATAATGAACAGGCATATATCAAGCAGTTTGCATTACAGAGCCATCAGCACAGAACAACAGTCAGAGGTGAGTGACCCCAGGGACCATCTCCACAGCTACAGCAAAGCTTCTCCCTGACACTAATCCTGCCTGTCATTCTCCCACTGTGCTCTAACCACACTGACATCCGCCTGCCGCACTGCAAGCTTAACGGGCCCTTCCTGACTTTTTACTGTCTCCCCCAATCAATGGTTCAAGCGTGCTCTTTTCACCATGTCCAAATGGCAGCTTCACTCATAATCAAAGTGCACTGCCCCTGTTAAAGGGCTTCCCGAAAGGCTCTACCATTTGCATTCATTTGCAAAGCAAACTACTTTTATTCACTTTGTTCTGCTATCAAGAATGTTCCCTGAAGCAGATAAATTGGCATAAATACAACCTGCCACTTAAGAGACAGTAAATAATAGCCAATAGTGGGGAGGATTTTATCAATTGTTCTATTTTGTAGCCGCGTAATTCTTTGTTCATCAAATGCTAAAAGCCTCAAATATTCATATTTATATAGCTTTTAATACAAGCATGAATTCATTATCTATCAGTTTAAATGTAACACACACACACACAGTAGTGAGAGAGATATAACACATACACTACATATATAATAAAGTGGGTATGTATACTAGTGGCTTGTGAAGAACATGATAAATACAAACCAGGTTTCATTATCACACAGTAACCTTACAGTTTATTTATTGTACAGAATAAAAGCATACATGTTCTGAATTAAAACTTCTTTATTTACATATTTCCATAACTTTGGGGTTCATAGAAGTGAAGTTATTGGGTACCTATACATATTCTAGTTTTGAAAATATAATTCCAGCACTATTTATTTATTTTTAAAATAAAAGAGGCTAAGTAGAGAATTTTAATTAATAAGTTTTTCATACGTAGTACAGAACTGCACACACTGAATGTAAGCATTAGTAAATGCAATTTGTTTCAGAAACAAATGAAAATTATGTTGTACATTGATTTCAAATGTAAATGCTTGTAGCACAAAAGTAGCTGCACAGATGTATCTTAACACAATATTCAAAGCATAGCCAAACAATTTCACACAAAAATCAAAGTCATATTTCTGCACTAATAGAAACATTTTAGAGGTAACAAATTGTCTGATATGTTTTAAATTCTTTAAAACCATTTTTTGTAAGATTTGATTCTTGGATGTGCTGCATATTTTAATTCTTGTGTGTAAATGTTACAAAAGTAAACACATCATTTTCCTTAGCTATCATCATCATATAGGAATTCTAATAAAAACCTACTGTCTACTGATCTTTAATAAACAATACTGATCTTTAAAAAACAAACAAACAAACCTACTAATTCTATGTGCATCTATGATACCAATATGTTGAATGTACTGAATGAAACAATTATTTCAATAACATGGTAACTTACAAGAATACAATTTAAAACAATAAAATAAAAATAAGGACATAAAATTGATAGGTCTGAAATTCTTTAATAGAGCTTTTTAGGAATCCATTATTAACCACAAGTGCTGTAAAGAGCTTTGGTGAATTTGCAATTCCTCAGCAATAGATAATTGTGTCTTTAGATGCAACAGTGCCTACTATGATCCAACTACCACAAGCAGCCATGAGGGTGGCCATAGTGTGAATGTATTCTCCCTATTCTGATTTGGAGCCAACTGTAACAGTCTCAAATGAATGCATAAGCATACAGCTTTGTCACTTAAAACCATGTGTGTCCAATATTACTGAAACACTGGGCCAAAATTCATCTCTGCAGTTAGGTAATGGAAGATACCACATAGTGAGGGGACAGCTGTTGTGACTACACAAGCATTCAGATTTTGCATCAGAAAAGCCCTGCTCTGGGATTAACTCTCCACACTGAATACAAAATGAAAGTAAACAGAGCTATAGGCCTCAGCTTTTAACGACTGCTGTCGATTAATCGCAGTTAACGCACACGATTAACTAAAAAAAAAATAATCGCAATTAAAAAAATTTATTGCAATTAATTGCACTATTAAACAATCAAATACCAATTGAAATGTATTAAATATTTTGGATGTTTTTCTACATTTTCAAATATATCGATTTCTATTACAACACAGAATACAAAGTGTACAGTGCTCACTTTATATTATTACAAATATTTGCACTATAAAAATGATGAATAAAAAATAGTATTTTTCAATTCACCTCAAACAAGTACTGTAGTGCAATTTCTTTATCATGAAAGTGTAACTTACAAATGTAGATTTTTGTTGTTGTTTCCTAACTGCACTCAAAAACAAAACAATGTAAAACTTTAGAGCCTGCAAGTCCACTCAGTCCTACTTCAGCTAATTGCTCAGACAAACAAGTTTGGTTACAATTTGCAGGAGATAATGCTGCCTGCTTCTTGTTTACAATATCACCTGAAAGTGAGAACAGGCGTTCACATGGCACTGTTGTAACTGGGGTCACAAGATATTTACGTACCAGATGTGCTAATGATTCATATGTCCCTTCATCTTCAACCACCTTTCGATAGGACATGCCTCCATGCTGATGATGGGTTCTGTTCAATAACGATCCAAAGCAGTACGGACCGACGCATGTTCATTTGCATCATCTGAGTCAGATGCCACCAGCAGAAGGTTGATTTTTTTTTTTTAATTTTTAATTTTTTTTTGGTTGTTCGGGTTCTGTAGTTCCGCATCGGATTGTTGCTCTTTTAAGACTTCTGAAAGCATGCTCTACACCTCATCCCTCTCAGATATTGGAAGGCACTTCAGATTCTTAAACCGTGGATCGAGTGCTGTAGTTATTTTTAGAAATCTCACATTGGTACCACCTTTGTGTTTTGTCAAATCTGCAGTGAAAGTGTTCTTAAAACGAACATGTGCTGGGTCGTCATCTGAGACTGCTATAACATGAAATATATGGCAGAATGCAGGGAAAAACAGAACAGGAGAGACACAATTCTCCCCCAAGGAGTTCAGTCTAATTAATGCATTATTTTTTTAACGAACATCATCAGCATGGAAGCATGCCCTTTGGGAATGGTGGCTGAAGCATGAAGGGGCATACGAATGTTAAGCATATCTGGCACGTAAATACCTTGCAATGCCAGCTACAAAAGTGCCATGTGAACGCCTGTTCTCACTTTCGGGTGACATTGTAAATAAGACGCAGGCAGCATTATCTCCCATAAATGTAAACAAACTTGTTTGTCTGAGCAATTAGCTGAAGTAGGACTGAGTGGACTTGTAGGCTCTAAAGTTTTACATTGTTTTATTTTTGAATGCAGGTTTTTTTTTGTACATAATTCTACATTTGAAAGTTCAACTTTCATGATAAAGAGATTGCACTACAGTACTTGCATGAGTTGAATTGAAAAATACTATTTCTTTTTTTTTACAGTGCAAATATTTGTAATAAAAATAAATATAAAGGGAGCACTGTACACTTTGTATTCTGTGTTGTAATTGAAATCAATATATTTGAAAATGTAGAAAACATCCAAAATATTTAAATAAATGGTATTTATTATTAACCGTACGATTAATCGTGATTTTTTTTAATCGCTTGACAGCCCTACTTTTAACATTAATTACATTTACAAATTTAAAAATTCATAGCATTTGCTCAAATTATATTCCTTTAAATGGCTTATTGTACAAGTCTTGTAATATTGAAGAATGAGGTCAGTCAAACCCCTCTGCAACCTTTAAAGAGCAACTAAGAATGTGGTATGTTATTTTGCATCACTATTATGTGTAGTAAAAGCAGTTAAATGCTATGAGGTCTCTTCTTCTTTAATAAAAATAATTCCTTCTTCAAACAATAGAAACTAAAACTCAAGTTGTTAAGAACACAGAGTAGCATTTGTTTTCAAGAAAAACCATCTTTTTGGTCTCTAATTTAAAATTATTAATATTTTGAAGAATTACACAACTGCATAGAATTTTACTGATAGACTTGAGAAGTATTTACATTTTAGAATTCACATCAAAGTTCCCATGTTTAAAAAGGATCCATTCTAGTTTGATGATTATCAAGAAATTCAAAGGCTGAAATTCTGCCCTTGGCCTACCCCATTGTACACATAAGAATATGTCTACATAGTAGGTGGTCAGACACTGCTTCTGACACGTTTTAGTCCAACCCCTCCCCCCCCATCCAACACATAGAGCCCTTGGATATGGCTAAACATCCTAAGAACATACCGTTAGAGGTGGCCTACACTGAAAAGTTAGTTTGGCATAGCTGTGTGTCTCAGGGGTGTGAAAAATCCACACCTTGGAGACTTAATTAAGCTAACCTAACCTTGGGTCAAGACAATGCAAAGTCAATAGAAGAATTCTTCCATTGCCTGAGCTACTGCCTTCCGGGGAGGTGGATTATGTACAGCCATGGGAGACCCCTTCCTGTCGCTGTAGTAAATGTCTACACTGAAGTGCTACACAAACACAGCTGCAGCATTGCAGCTGTGCCATTGTAGTGCTTTAGGTATAGACATACACTTAGTCTTGCCAGCTTATCTGGGGGTGTGTCTCTGCCTACCCATTTTGCAGGATGTAGCTAAAGCATGTGTAGCTGACTTTAAATATTTGGATAGTCTGCCAATGCTATTCCACAATTCCCAGGGCCTGTATGTTCCAGCCCTTCTATCTGCTGACTTCCCACTTGCCTCCTATGCAGAGGAAGCTAACTGCTGGTTTAAATACAGCCATTAGGCATTAACCCTTCATTGCAAGTATATTACGCTACTGTTAACACAACTAAACCCAGTTCAGTCAAACAGAAGAAAGATGCCCACCAACCAGTGATTCTGGCTAACCTGTAGTGTGAGGGCTGCAAGGTCCTTTTTTTTTTTTTTTTTTGGCAGAAGTAACAGAAACATGCATTTATATGATTAAAATCTTGATGAGGGTGGTGGAGGTTGACATTGACCAAACCACACACTATTGCAGGGAGCAGATCAAGCACCTCAAGTCCACTTACCTCATGATGAAGGATGGGAATGGAAAGTCTGGCAACTACTATGAAAAATCTAACCAGGTGTTGCCACCGCCTCAAGAGATGATCATACAGGACTGTGGGCTCTGGAGTCAAGAAAGTATGATTTTCAGACTAATGGCAGAGTCGACAGGGATGGTACCAGAGGAGAGCCGGCTGCCACAGGGGCTGGAGTCACAAGAACAGACCCCAGAACAGAACATAGTGCTGGAACCAGCCTAGGCACCACAGCCAAATCGACGAGGGGATGTCCTGGGCCCAAATGAGAAAGTTACTCACCTTGTGCCGTAACAATGGTTCTTCGGGATGTGTGTCCCTATGGGTGCTCCACTGTAGGTGTGTGTGCACCCCTGCGTCTCTAATCAGAGCTTTTAGGTAGCAGTGTCCATTCAGCCCACACATGCAATGTCCCTCTCTAAGTGGTCTGTGCGGGTGAACCTCACTCAATTCCTTCTCTACAGCACAGCCCCTTATGGAGAACTCCGAAGTAGAGGGGAGGAGGGCAGATAGTGGAGCACCCATAGGGACACAGATCTCGAAGAGCCATTGTTACTGCACAAGGTGAGTAACTTCCTCTTCTTCTTCAAATAGTGTCCCTTTGGGTAGTCCACTGTAGGTGACTTCACAGCAGTATCCCCCATGTAGGGTTGGGGCATTGGTTGTTACTACTGTGGAGCCGAAGATGGCATCGGAAGCTGAATTTCCAGTGATCGCATAGTGTTCTGTGAAAGTGTGGCCAGAGGTCCAAGTCACTACTCTGCAGATTTCCGAGATAGGGACATCTTTAATGAATGTGACCGAGGTAGAAATTAACCTTATGGAGTGTGTATGGATTCTAGATGGAGACAACAGAATGCGTCCTTGATAACAGTGATTAATGCAACCCAAGACCCATTTGGATATCTTTGAGGCGATATTGCGGAGCCTTTGGATCTTTCTGCAAATGAAAGGAAGAATTTAGGGGACTTCCTGAAGTCCTTAGTCCTGTCCAAGTAGAATGCTAATACTTTTCTAACATCTAGCATATGCAAAATCGCCTCCTTGTTTTCATGATGTGGTTTTGTGAAAAAAAAAACAGGAAGATGGATCTGTTGATTCCCATGGAAAGTGGAGGCAACTTTAGGGAGAAATTTGGGATGCGGCCTCAGAGTTGCTTTGTCTTTAAAAAAAGACAGTGTATGATGGGTGTGCCATTAGGGCTGCTACTTCTCCTATGTGCCTAGCTGAGGTGATGGCAATTAGAAATGCTGTCTTCATAGACAGGTGTAAGAGAGCAAGTTGCCATGGGTTCAAAAGGAGGTCCAATCAAAGCACTGAGAACTAGGTTAAGATCCCAGGTTGGAGCAGATGGTCTCACATGCAGGAAGAGTATCCCAATGTTCTTAAGGAATCTACACGTCAGTGACTGAGCAAACATCGAGTATCCATCTATCTGACACTGGAAAGCAGTTATGGCAGCAAGATGTACTTTAAGGGAGCTGAGTGAGGGTTTTGACCTCTTGAGGTCTAAAATGTAATCTAAAATCAGAGGGAGGGAAGACAAAGCTGGGTCTGTGTGCTTAGAATGACATCAAACTTGGAATCATTTCCATTTTTGTAGGTAAGTACATCAGGTGGTAGACTTTCGGCTGTAAAGAAACACGTCTTTCACCTCTCAGAGCATTCTAACTCTAAGTCTTGGAACCAAGAAGGAGCTAGGTCTGGAGGTGTCCGGTAAGGGAACCAGACTTGTCTTGGCCAGAAGGGGGCAATCAGAATAACTCTCATTTTATCTCATCAATTTTTCAACAGGACCTTGGATAGAAGCGGAAACGGATGAAAGGCATACAAGAGATCTCTGTCCCATAGGAGGATGAGGGCATCTCTGAGTGAATGTTTCCCCAGACTGGCCCTGGAGCAGTAACGAGGACATTTCTTGTTCTGGTAAGTACCAAAGAGATCCGTAGTTGAGGTTCCCCAAAGAGCGAATAGGTCTCAAAGCGCCTCTGGGTTCAGCTCCTATTCGTGGTCATGAGAAAAGTACCGACTGAGGCTGTCGGCTGGCACGTTCTGTATCCCTGGTAATTAGACAGCTAAGATGAGCACATTGTGATGGGTGCACAGATTACAAAGTTTGAGAGCTTCTGTGCAGAGGGAGGGAGATCTGGCACCCCTCTGGCGATTTATATAAAACATACAGGTCATATTGTCCATCATGACCTTTCTGTGGGTGCTCTTGATGAAAGGCAGAAAGTGTTCACAGGTGTTCCTGATGGCACTTAGCTCCAAAAGACTGATATGGAGAATCACTTCTGTGGAAGACCACTTGCCTTGAACCTTGCAGTCATGTAGGTGAGCTCTCCAGCCTATTAGGGAGGCATCCGTCATTAGAGACAGCATCAGTGGCAGTTGCATGAATGGAACGCCTGCTCGGATGTTAGATGGGCCTTTCCACCAGCCCAGGGAGTGCTTTACTGCAGAGGGCAGTGATAGCAATTTGGTTAGTTTGTCCCTGTTCAGGGGATAGACAGAAGTGAGCCACATCTGAAGACGCCCCCATGAACATCTGGGCATTTGGGGTGACGAAGCTGCATGTTGCCATATGGCCTAACAGCTGCAGGCAGTTCCTGGCCGATGTTTGAGGACTGGCCTGGACTGTCTCTATGAGACTTACAAGAGGGTGAGTCTGTGTAACAGGAGGAACGCTCTTGCTTGTACTGCATCGAGGTAGGTGCCGATAAACTCCAGTCACTGTACCGGGGTCAATGCTGATTTCTCTAAGTTGAGCTGTAGATCCAGCTATGCAAATGTGCACGTGGTTGTCTGGGTGGCTCGTATGGTGTCCCTGAAATGAGGAAGTCCTGAGGAGGCAGTCGTCTAGATACGGGTAGATCACAATACCCAATGTTCCAACAAGGCCACTGAACAGGCCACTGGTCCTGCTGATACGGATGTCGTGCCGGTTTCTAGGACCAATGGGACTAACACCTGCAAGATTATAAGTGATATCGACCTGCACTGGGGCGATCTCTGGTGAGAGGCTGGCTGGTACTGGGAGTATGGAGACGGGTGCCTCGATTCTGGCATTCCATGGATTCTGGCCTCATGGAAGGACAGCACCGTGCCAGAGACCTAAATCTTCTGGCTGGAGACCGAGATTGCAGGGCCAGTGTCTTAGGCTGTGGGGACGAGGACATACACCTATGATCTGGGGACCAATGGTGCTCCACCGCTCTCTGGGGGAGGGGGTCCTATGGCTGACTTGCCCTTGGATTGCAAGGCCTTAGCCATGTCTGGCAGCTGGCGTGGCGTCTGTGATACCGGAAAGCCCATGAAGGTCTTTTGACACTCAAAGCTGCCCAGGCGGCCAAGGTCCCAGTAGCAGCCGGGGTCCCCTGCCGCTTTCAGGAGTCGGAGGTGGATCCCTAGTTGGGCTAGGGGGTCCGACCATAGCAGTACCCCCTTGTAGCTCCGGGGCTGGCGCATGGCCTGAACTAGGTCCTTTGCCCAGAGCCCCCTTCCCCTCCTTAAGTGGCGCAGGGGAGCCTCTTTTCTTTTGTCGCTTTTTGGGCACAGGTGAGGGGGAACGGTGCCTGGCAGAGCCCGGTGCCGGCGGGGCGCTCTGCACCGACACTGAGGTGCTAGGAGCAGAGTCCAATCGGGAGGGCTCCAATGCCGGACGAAGTGCAGCCTTCATGAGGAGGGTCTTCAAGCAGATATCCTGCTCCTTCTGGGTTCTGGGATGAAAGTTCTTTTGCAAATCCTGCACTTGTCCTTTTATATAGGATTCCCCCAAGCACTTCAAACAGCTGCTGTGGGGGTCACTAACAGGCATTGGCCTGTTGCATGATGAACGGGGTTTGAAGTCCAGGGAACGGGGCTAACTAAGTACCTAAGAACTACATACAAAGAGAACAACAATGGTCTGTTAAGAACTGCTAACATTCTTGCAATGCTAGACGAGGTGCTCCGACCAACCGTCATGGGCGGTAAGAAGGAAATGAAAGGGAGTAGGGCTGGTGGCACCTAATATACCGACGCATGAGCGCAGCACTCCGAAGGGCACTACTGCTGACCCTACGGATACTGCTAAGGCAAAAATCTCCGATGACTGTGCATGTGGGCGTGCGCACACCTAGAATGGAATCAACATGAGCAAGCACTTGAAGAACTGCAGCTTATCTGCCACCCTCTTAGTAAGGTCTTGCAAGTTCTTGAAATCTTCAGCTAGTAATGGAGGAGGGCGGCATTACAGCCTCATCTGGCAAAGATGAGAAGCTTGCTGGAGGGGTAGCTTCCCCTTTGGGCCTTTCCTTCTGTTCCACAAAAGTTTTCTCCTCTGTTCAAGGGCTCTGGACAGTGATGCTATAGGAGACCATCTAGCAGACTCTCTCAGAGATACTGGATGCCCGCAGAATATGGGATCTGTACATAGTCCAAGGATCCCAATACAGCCATTTGGGGAGGAAAGCATGGGTGGTGGTGGCTTCCAAGGGGACCCGTACCACAATCATGGGTCGTCTTGATGGAATGGAAGAGGATCCTTGTATTGTGACAGTGGGCCACGACAGGCCAGGCAAATGACATCCTCCTGGTTACTGTCAGACTTGTCACTGGGTAAGGGTGACGCTGACCAGGATATTGGTGGTATACGGCCCGGTCCAGAGGGTGATTCTGGGCGCCGGGAAGTGCTTGGTACTGGCTCTGAATAATGGGGATTGCGGTTCTTCCCCAACCATCAGGTCTCTAGGGTACCAGAACTCTTGCAGTACCGTCAGCTCATTCAGTACTGCAGAGGAGTGTCCGTGGTATGTTGTCGGTACCAAAGGTTGTGAAGGTGCAGAGCGGTTCCCTACACAGGAGCTTTATCGCATCCAGTACTGAAGATTTTCTTGGTGCTGCTCCTTTAGAGGTGGTACGGTATTTGTCTTTGTCCTTAGGGGGGCGGTACCGCTCCCTCAGAGCCTGAGCCCCTGGCGTCTCTAGGTGATGTAGCAGAGCTCATAGTGGAGGTACCCTGATGCTTCTGGGTACCGTGCTTCAGAGCCGCTGATACCGAGGTGGCCAATCGCACTGGGGAACCCCTCTGGCTGGCCAGTGACTCAGTTTGGGGGCTTGGAGCTTTTACGGGGGGAATCTGCTGGTCTTTTCTGTGACACTACTCCCTCTGAAGTTGAAGGCTCTGGGGATGATCCAGGGTCAGCACTGGAGTCCCCTGGAAGTTGAAGTGCCTTCTCCTTCAACAGTGAGTGTGTCTGGCCGTTACAGGAATTGACTCCTTGCAGGAGAGGGCACCAGGGGAGCCAGGCCAGGCATGATGTGGGGTAGGAGGGAGGGGAGCTATTACCCTCTAGCAATGAAGAATGCAGAATAAAGTTTTCTCCTCTTTTTTTCAACTGAAATAACTCAGAGTGTCTTCTAAATGCCCCTGGAGTGGGGGAAATCTCCCCAGACTGGGCAGGAAAAATAAACTAAAGTTCTTTTTCTTCTTTTTTTTAATCCCAAAGGAGTAAAAAGGAAATACTACCTATTAAAGAGAACAAAAGAAACAAAAACAACTAGGACTAATGCTAATGACACAGACAAGGAAGGGACAACTGCCCGCTCCATTCGAGGACAAAAGTGGGGAGAAGGAACTGAGGGGGATATGCCCATGCAGTGCTAGATAGCCTTGAGGCAGACCATGAGGGAGGGAGAGTGCATGTGTGGGTTGAACGGATACTGCTACCTAAAATCTCAGTGCAGGGGTGCAGATAAACCTACAGTGGAGCACCCATATGGACATTACTCAAAAGAAGAATCCAAAGATCTGTTAGGGATGGACCTGGGGAGGAAGTGGTATTGTAACAAGATCTGGAGCTAGAGCCTGGTAAATTTGTCCCTCAATTTCCCTGGACAAAAAATAATGTAGTCTTTCATTGCTGTAGCAGGCCAGTCCTCCTCTGATATTTGGATGATTGTTTTGGCTGTACTATAGGTTGGTATGTGAGGCATGGGGAAAAAAGCCATAAAGTTGTATAAAAAGATTGTATTGAAGAATCTGAATCAATATAAATCTAAATCCATATAAAAACAGTAGCAAATGAACTGCAATGCCCAAATAAAAGATACACTAAGCAAATAAACTGCAAGGCCCGCAAAAATTCACTAGCATGTATACTAATGCACCACATAGCATCACATACCCATATGCGCATCATCCTGTGAACCTAGGATGTGGGCATACAAGACATCCCTGATTTCCCTTGTGCATCTAGCTCCAGCAATGACAGATGCACTTCCTGATTGCCTGTACCAGACCTGCAAACCATCAGTGTCTTCAGTCTTCACTTTATGTGAAATATATGCCTTTCACCTCTCAGACATTGTGCAGGGAGCAGCAGGCCACAATAATACGGATGGCATTTGCCACACTGGCATCCAAATGGTTTATAGGCAGCACTATCCTGCCTTGAGCATGCCAAATTCACACTCCACCACCATCCTGCAACTGCTAAGGATGTAATTAAACTTTCTTTTACCAGGCCCTTGAAAGTCAGGGTACAGCAGAGGGACAACGAGGTTCCCTAAAACAACAGTACGCATGGAGACTCTGTTGATAACCATGTCATTTGAAGGGAATAAGGTCTCTGCATGTCCAAAAAGGTAAATGCAAGACAGTGTAATCCCACTACTCTGTCCTTGTGGTCCTGCACCAGAAGCACTGGTCTCCATATAATGAATCTGCAGCTATGGCAGCAAGCATCAGGTGCCTTAATTGTGCCATGACTGTCTGTACCCCTTCCGAGACCTACTGCTGCTGTCTTCCTAACAACAAAAACTGCTGCTGAAATGTCCACCACCATCTCACAGACCCTCTATCTGTATCCTGCAACAACAGTGAGCTGTGAGCAGGAAAAGCTCCCTGGCTTGTCTTTGGCTGGAACAGATAAAAGCAGGGAGTTGGCAGATCTGGAAGAGCCTCAGCTAGTCCATGCGTTGGTGGACTAAGAGCACTTTTGCACAGAGGCTTGGGACAGACAGACAAGTTCTCCCACAATACACCACAAACCTAGCCCTAGATGTAGCCAGTGAGGCATTAAGAACCCTGGGATAAACTCCCAGGTATCCTAGTACCAAACATGTTTCAATGCAGTGCTAGAAGTAGGGTTGCCAACTTTCTAATCACACAAAACCGAATACCCTAGACCTGCCCCTTCCCCGAGGCCTCGCCCCTGCTCACTACATTCCCCCTCCCTCAGTGTCTCGCTCTCCCCCATCCTCCCTCACTTTCACTGGGCTGAGGCAGAGGCTTGGTGTGCGGGAAGGGGTGAGGGCTCTAACTGGGAGTGCAGGCTCTGGGGTGGGGCCAGAAATGAGGGGCTCAGAGTGCAGGAGGGGTTTCTGGGCTGGGGCGAGGGCACCAGCTGGGGGTGCGGGCTCTGGGGATGAGGGGTTTGGAGTGTAGAAGGGGGCTCCAGGCTGGGAGGTGGGGGCCACGAGTTGGTGTGTGGGAGGGGGTACGGGGTCTGGGTTGGGGGTGTGGGCTTTGAGCTGGGGTTGAGGGATTTGGAGTGTGGGAGCAGGCTGCGGCAGGGGTGCAGGAGATGAGAGCTCCTGCTGGGGGTGCAGGCTCTGGGGTGGGGCTGGGGATGAAGGATTTGGGGGCAGGAGGGGGCTCCAGGCTGGGGCAGGGGCTCAGGGTTGGGGCGGTTGGGTGTCTCTGGTCAGCGGTGCAGCAGGACTAAGGCAGGCTGCCTGCCTGCTCTGGTACTGCGCTGCGCCCTGGAAGCAGCCAGCAGGTCTGACTCCTAGGCGGAGGCGTGGAGGGGGAAAGGTGGCTCCATGTGCTGCTCTCGCCCGCAGGCACGCCCCCCACCCCAGCTCCCATTGGCTCCGGTTCCCAGACAATGGAAGTGCAGAGCCAGTGCTCGCGGCAGGGGCAGCGCGCGGAGCCCACGCCGAGAAGCTGGACCTACTGGCCGCTTCTGGGGTGCAGTGTGGTGCCA